GTTTTGACTAATAGGTTGAATGCTAAGCTTGAAAAGCTTATTGATCATGTCCAATCTGGCTTTATTAAAAACAGATATCTGATGGATGGGGTTACAGCAGCTCAGGAAATTATCAATGATTGTTTTCAGAACAATAAAAAAGGAGGGATTTTATTAAAATTGGATTTTGCTAAGGCCTATGACATGTTAGACTGGGATTTCATCTTGGAGGTTATGAAAGCCAAAAAATTTGGAGTTAAATGGCTACATTGGATTACTATGTGTCTAAAAGGAGGTATGTCTGCCATTGATATCAATGGTAAAATTGGGAGTTGGATTATGTCAAAGAGAGGTGTTCGTCAAGGAGATCCTTTATCTCCTCTTTTATTTGTCTTGGCAGCTGATTCCTTTACCAGGATGATGAACTTAGCAGTGGATTCTCTTCTTATTGAAGGTTTGGGTCCAATTAATATGCCTCATAAAATTTGTTGTTTACAATATGCAGATGATACATTGATATTTTGTAAAAATAAAAGAGAGCAGTTGACAGTGCTAAAAATGATACTATATTGTTTTGAACTTGCCTCTGGATTGAAAATAAGTTTTAACAAGAGTATTCTCATTGCTCTTGAGAACAATGATTCTTTGCAACATAATTTAGCTGTTATGTTGAATTGTAAAAGTGGGACTTTTCCCATTACTTATCTTGGAGTTCCTTTGAGACCTGGAAAATTAAAAAAAGCAGATTGGTCTCCTCTGATTGAGAAATTTGAGAGAAGATTAGCCTTATGGAAAGGAAAAACTTTATCAAGAGGAGGAAGATTAGTTTTAGTGAATTCTGTTCTTTCTTCTATGCCAATTTTTTGGCTATCCTTCTTTTTATTTCCTAAGTGGCTTATAGAAAAAATTGATAAAATGAGGAGAAGATTTTTGTGGACTGGCTCTTTTGATCATAAAGGCTCTTCTAATTTAGTCAAATGGGAGGAGGTTTGTAGACCTAAGCAATATGGAGGTTTGGGGATTGTAAATTTGAAAATTATGAATAAGGCTTTGTTGGGGAAATGGTGCTGGAAATGGTTTGATAATAAACTGGAATTATGGAAACAGATTAGTTTTTACAAATACTTTGAGAGGAAAAATTGGACAGAATTTTTTTATTCTGGTAGAAATACTTTAACACAGTTTTGGAGAAATTGTTTTGATAATATTGAAAGCTTTTTATGCAGTACTATGGTGGATGTGGGAAAAGGAGATCAAACCCTATTTTGGCTTGATAAATGGGTAGGTTCTTTTACCCTTGCTTCAGTTTATCCCTCTCTTTTCAATGTCACTTCTTTTCCTTATGCAACTATCAGTAAGGTGAGAAAGAAGGTGAATAATGAATGGACATGGAGTATTCAATTTAGTAGACAATTGACTGGAAATTATGTTCTTCAATACTGCAAGTTGATGACTGATATCAGAGATTTTAATTTTGAACAAAGGGAGGACAGGAGAAAATGGATTTGGGATACTAAAGGTAAATTTACAGTTAAATCCTATTATCACTTTCTTATTGATGGGGGTTTAAGATTTGACCATGTTAATCTCTGGAGGCTGCCTGTTCCTTTAAAAGTGAAATTTCTTGTATGGTTGGCTCTAAGACAAGGGCTAAATACAAAAGATAAGCTAGATAAAAAAGGTATTCATGTGGATTTAATGTGTTGTTTATGTTCTAAAAATGAGGAAAATCATTACCATCTTTTTGTAGACTGTGAGTTTGTATACTCCACATGGAGATCTATTCAACATAAACTGCACATTGATAAGGATTTTAAGTTGAATTCCCTAAGGGATATCTGGATCAATTGGAATATGGATAAGGGAGTTAAATGGAATGTGGAAAGAGACGTTATTTTATGTTCTCTTATTTGGAGTATTTGGCAGGAAAGAAATGACAGAGTTTTTTCAAGCAAGAAGAAGAGAGCTCTGGAGATTTTAAACAAGGTCCTGATCTATTCGTCTTTTTGGTTAGGTTCTAAACCTTTATCTGATCGATCTGCCAGACTTCAAGAGCGGAGGAGGAAAAGAGCTGCTGCTGTTCAGTCTACGGAGAACAGGATTGAGAATATAGTGCAACTGGAATGATTTTTATATTCTGGTTCTGTTTTCTGTTGGTTAAAAACTTTGTTCTTATGGTCTACTCTTTTGTAGTAGTAGTAGTTGTCAGTTTTCTTTTGATAGAGCTGATTTTGGTTGTATCTGTGGGGAAACAGAAGTTTGTTTTTTGGTTGTAAGCTCTGTATGAACTCAAATGCACATTCTTATTGGTTGGGAATGTGCATAGTCATGTAACAACCAAGTTTGGATTAATTTAGCTGGCTGGATTACTGTTAAGATTAACAGTAATCCATCCTTTCTCTCAAAAAAAAAAAAAAAAAGAACATCGCGACAATGGCAAATGACATTTCATATTTTGCATTCATATATATGGATATATACTTGACATATAACAACAGAACCAGAGGAATCCACAACAATTGATACAATTAGAATGCCTACAGATTAACCTTGGTTCATCTCCATAAGACAACGAATTAGCTCTCAAACCTAAAACTGTTACTTCATAGAGAACATAATCTAAACCATTGATTTCCCTTTTTCTAGAAACACAAGTGCAAATGCCTTTTCTTTAAAACCTTATAAAATAAAAGAAAATACCACTTTCTAGTAAGCGTTCCTATTTTATTTATGTTTTCTTTTTGAAGTTTAAGGAAAAAATTAATGCTTCCAAATACGATATGTGAGTACTATATTTTTAAGAGTTTAAATTTGAGTTATATATGTGTAGAATATCTGATAATGTGCATTAAGACAAGAGGCAAAATAAGGAACAAGTTTTAAACTAGTATATAAAACTTATTTCACCGGTACTCCTTTCTTTCGCATTTTGTCCATAGGATATACGACATATATACACCCATAACCAACACTAAAATATGTTGAAACCTTTATACACTTTAAAACGTCTAATGGTGGTACATTTCTTGGCGGCAGGTCTACTCTTTCAACTGCATGATTGGAGAGAAGATAGGCTTGTTAGGAAGAAGAGAAAATTTTCTATGAGAGAATGTCAAGCCTTCCTTATTGGCGAAAATTAATGTTTTGTAACTTATTCTTTGCACATTAATAGAAACCATCGTACCTTAAATAGATATATTTAGAAAAATACTCATAAACAATCGCGTCTTCTTGAAGCATTTGTGTCCATTTGCAAAAATTGTAGCCTAAGATCCAAAGGAACTTCAAAAGATATAAAAAAAAAAATCTTAAAAGACTCGATTATCTCATAAAAGATGTTAAAATAGGCTACTTGCATCAAATTAATTTAACGAAAAACTGTCTGTAATTTCTTCAATATCTGTTGGGATTGAGAATTTAAGGACACGTAATGAGATGGGTCCGTATGATGATTTCAACATCTAACGTATCCCCCGATCGTTCATCCTTTCATTCTCCATTTGTACATCCAATTTGTTGAATTCTTTTCTCTCTCTTATTATATCCCTATAATATGATGTCCATTATAATCTTACCAGAACAGTCTCTACTTTAACTCCACAGCTATTCTCATGGTACAATAACTCTAAGCATAAAATATAAACCTAACCATCCATGCCTACAACCATTCACAGAACCCAAATTCAACAAAATTCACGCAAGAAAAAAGAAAGGCCATGACACTATATATTCAGCACTACTATAAACAAGAAGCAACATCACCTAATAAGCCCAATGTTCCATTCCCAAGACAAAAAAAAAACATAGTTCCTCATATTATATCTATTCTTTCAAGCTTTAATTTCTAGTTTCAGAACTCCCAATTGAGAGCTTGTCTTTTGATTTGGTATCAAATTGAGTTAATTAGCTGCACAGCTTCATTGCAGCATTTGATCAAACAGGTCGCAGAAATGTCAGTTTCTCTTCAAAACTCATAAAATTTATTCAGCAGTTCAGGACTCTAATAAACAATTTTAGAAGAAAATCCAAGCAAATGGGCTGACGAAGAAAGGACCAACTAAATGGGAAAGGGGTTTTAACCTTCTTCGACTTTCTTTTTGACATGATTTTCTCTGGCATCTTGAATGCATCCCATCGAGATCCCCGACCCCTCCTCGTCTCCCAAGGAGACGAAGCTGCAAAAAAATTGAAGCTTTTAAGGTTCTCTTGCTGCAGCTTGTTGTTAATAATGATGGCTCTGTTTATTGTGCTGAGCAGAAAAATTATGGACGTAGTTTAATCACAGGGGCCACCAAAATTGAAAGAGCGTTTTTTTTAGACAATGGTCTCTTAAATCTCACACATTTGGACGAATTCTCAAAACCAACTTATTTCCACATTTAATCCCAAATAAAATCTGTTTTGAACTTATTTTCAAAAACAGACCTGGTTTCAGTCCTGACTCGATTTTTGAATTTTTTTTTCAAAACTTCACGAGAGTTGGTTCAACTCTCGTGAAGTTTAGTAAATCTGCTAAACTTCACGGGAGTTAAATTCCCGTGAAGTTTCTGAAGCTTTTTCAAAAAAACCGACCTGGCTTCAGGTCGTGAAGTTTAGTAAATCTGCTAAACTTCACGGGAGTTAAATTCCCGTGAAGTTTCTGAAGCTTTTTCACAAAAACCGACCTGGTTTCGGCGCCAAGGCTGAAACCAGATCGGTTTTTGCAAAAAAGTTCAAAACAGGTCGTTTCTTAGGATTAAATGTTTAAATAAGGTGGTTTTGAAAATTTGTCCCACACATTCTGAATTAGTCCCTCAAAACACTGAAATCTTCTATTTAGTCCTTCAATTCCTACTAGTCTTTCCAGATTAGCACAGGCCAAAACCTTACCTCGTCGTTCGGCTAGTGATTGATTGTTAGGGTCCATTTTCTCCCAATTGGTAACAGCTAAGTTGATACACTCGTTTATTTTGCCCATGCGTTCGAGCAACAATGCATCCAAATGCATTTGACATATGTAGACTTAACCGATATCCTACTCCTTAAGTGCACCATGCTATCTCGCGCAGTATATCAGCACGTTCTTTAAGTGGCAGGTCCCTTACAAATTCATCAAAGCAGTTTGATAAGAAGTTTCAGGGTACGGGGAGCTAATTTCGACATCTTTATGCTCTTGGATGTGGAAATTGGTTTGGCAACTTTGTTTGAAGATATTACCACTCAGGGCTGCAACCGCACTCCCTGGAAAGCTGTATTCTGCAACGAATCAAAATATAAATTAACAAGCAGTTCAGAAACTAGCTAATGAACTTTTTCACAGAAAAAGATAAGACGGGTCTTAATTTTAAAAATGAAAAAGAAAACGCTGTTTTTTTTTTTTTTTTGAAATGCAGCAAGCAAAATTGTTACTGTCCAATTTTACCAATCCCTACGGGAACTGTTAATTCATTCAGACTGCCAACAGTGACATTTTTATGTACAACTGCCAACAGTACCGAAAAAGGTCCCATACAAAAACTATAAATAAGAAACATTAGTGATGAAGTGTCAGATATGCTATATTATGCTATGTTCCTATGTTGACAAGTGAAATAAAATGTAATGCATTGGACAACAATCTTGACTAGTAATCGGTAGTAAGCAAGGAGAACCATATAGCATTTTAACGAGCATGAGATTTTGAAAATTGAAGTGGAAGCTAACTATTTGTTAGTATGTGATCTTGAAGTAAGTTTCTTGACCCGTTGCCATGGTCAGCAAATTCTTTTCTATTAAGATGACTCTTGGGAGGATCCTCCCAATTTTACTCTCCCATAAAGATGCCATTTTGTTCAACCTGAACTTATTGCAAACCAGGCGAAAATGAACAGTATATTGAGAGTTACTGAATCAAAGCAGGCTTTCATGGTGAATTTCCCAATATCTACTCCACCCACAAAGTATGCTTAATAACAAACAAGTAGAAAAAGTTAGTTCCAATACACACCATGCAGACATAACAAAATTGGATGAAATGTCCAGATACAGTGATGTATATATATCATAATAAACATGCAGAAGAAAACAAGTATTTATTCAGCATTTAAGTGATTATTTGTGATGAATTGTGATTTTGAAATAAGTTACCTTCTGCATCGCCATCTCCATAAATGTTAAACTGACCCAACGGTGAAGGGTGAGTTTTATCGAAGTAAGGCCAACCAGCAATAGAGTTGCAGCAAATGTAGTATATGGAACTCCCGCGCGCGCATTCTCAGTTGCACGGCAAACTTTTCTCTTCAGGTCATAGAAACTGAGACCAGGCTTGACTGGGTTAGCCTTTGTTGATGTCATGTCCAAACTCTGAAGGCAAATACCTCTGTGTCAAAAAGCAAATGAGACCATAATTTTATAACTCTCAGTATTCTCTGTGAGTTTGGAGTTTTGATACAATAACTGATGATATATATATACCTTGACAGTTCCAACAGCTTTAATGGCTTTTATCTGTGTAAGTTGCCCAAGGATGCTTTCACCTCCAGTGGCTGAAATGACGACATCGGTGTGGTAATCCCTCAATTTATTTTCTTTCGGCTCCTTACCTATGATTTTTGCCAGATATATCAGGTATAACGATCAACTAAGTTGTGTCAAAAAAAACAAAAATTGCGGCATACTCTAGTAGAAACCATCAGTCATCATTGCAATAACCCAATATCACCATCTTGTTTGCATTATTTCAATTATAAGAACATAATAAATAGGAGCTTGACTTGTTATCTTATTAATTATTGTTGCAGTTTCAGGCATATTCCTTATTTGCTACCGTAACAAAATTGTGCATGGGATATGCATCGATATTTTTAGAAATCTTTTTACTAATATCGGCCCGTGTTACTTACAATTTCAGGCATCTTTTGCATTTCGCCAGGAAAGGGTGGTATAACTCTCCTTAATCCCTTACTTAATCTATTGCCGAACAACAGTTTTATAACAACAAGAAACAAGAGAAAGAAACATAAGCCAATTCTGCAAAAAATTAACAACAAAAACAAGCGAACAAGTTTGAGACGAAGAAACTCTGTCGGTGAGTTCCTGCGATGCTGCAGCCTTTGAAGGGGAAGAGGCTGAGGCAGACCTAACCAAGATATAGGTGGTCTTGCCACTGTCCAAGCTTGATTCAGCGATGAACCTCCCAACGTAAGTGGAGACTATATTATAGTAACTGTCATGATCTTGCCAGCAAATTTTCAATCCCTTTTCATCTCCTTTTCCAACATTATTATGTCTGACAGCGGTTACTAAGTACTGGTTTTGCTCTAGGTCAAGTGCCAACTACTTTTTTTTTTCTTATTTCTTTAAGTCAAGCTGGGTCTTTGAATGGTTAGGTATTCTGTTTGTTCTCTCTTGTCAAGGGATTTCTGTTTCTTCTGAAAGATTTCAGGCACAAAGCTTGTAGGTCCTAAAGTTATCAATGAATTTCCTTTGTATTCATAACTTTTGCACCAGCGCACTTACTTTTTTTATATAGAAACATTTAATGTTTTTCGCGAAGAATTCTCTATTCTTTTGGTTATTTTATCCTTCATCATGACCAATTGGTTGCTGATTTTGTCCATAAATTTGCAATCAAACTTTATAATATTTTCTAAAACTGCTTGCTTATGATGTTGTGTTGGTGATTCTCGTCATAGGCTTTCAGTCTCATTTTACTCCCGAAACACTGAAAGTTCTTATCAATAGTGATAGCAGAGAACAGGAGACAATCAAAATCCACGGGTATATAATCTCATAAGTGAGAGGAGATTAAAATGTACTTTTGGTAATAGTCTTCAAGTTCAAAATAAGACTAGGAAAATATACTTTTGGTAGCGGTCTCCTATGTTTAAAATTAGACTAGGACTTTCGCTCAAGAATTATTTTAAACCCGTGAACTAATTATAAATTTTCACTAGAAATACCCTGCTTTCACAGACTTCGCCTGAGTCCGTGTCCTGCCCTGAATACCCCCCCCACCCCACACACACATGCACACACGTGCACACACACGCATGCTCACACACACGTGCGCACACACACGCACGCATGCACACGCGCACGTGCACACGCACGCACGAGCACACACACGCACGCACACGCACACGCACACGCACCCCCCCACCCCACACAAACACACACGCACGCACGCGGCACACGCGCACACACGCACACACACATGCACACGCACACACACGCGCGCGCACACACACTTCTTTTTAGAACAAAGATGGTGGTGCCTTTGTGGACCATGGAGAAAGTGCAACCAAGATCAAATAAATCCATGCTCGATTAGTAGAAGTGATATTAAAATGCTTGAAGATGTTTAAAGTGTAGTGGACAACTAATCTAATTTTAGTGAAAGAGGAACAGTATTCACTGAATGAGGAGAAAGAGCGTAGTGGAAATTTTCTTTTGCAAATAGAGTGGTGGTGCAGCTGGTGACATAATATTTATATCGATAGGAAGACTTTGTAATCTTATAAAAATTTCGTCCGTTTAAGGTACACGGTAAGGATGTACATAAACATGTCGGTAAGAATATTATAAATATATATTTTTTGATTTATTTGCAAGTCAAAATTTCTTTTTATCGGGTTAAAGATTTTTATTAGCACGCCGTCATGATTTCTACCCACTCACCGTTTAAAGGGACTTTAATCGAATTTATCGAATAAATCGATCAGTTAAAAACTGACTATTCAAAAGTCTTCTTTTGTAACTACTATTTAAAAGTTTCAAATGAACAACTTGTAAATAAAAAACAACGGGGTTGTACTATTTGCAATAGCAGGAGACAAAACTACTTACAGCAATTTCTGTGTTATGATTTAAAACTTTGAGAAATCGGATAAAGCTTCGTAAATTGAAGGATTTTTTTTTGAATTTAATGAGAATATTGCCGTAGCTTGTGGAAGATTTTTTTTGGAGTGAAAAGTTTATATTATTTCTTATCTAAATTGAAATTATACATTTCCTTTTTTTTTCTTTTTTATCTCACTATTTTCTCAAAAATATGAGATAGTGTATTATATTTATATTAGATAATAATTGTTACAAAATTTCAAAAAATTTCAGTGTTTAAAGAATTCTGCAGCGGTATGAAATCAGGTGGAGTGCGTCCATACAAGTCCCCGCGCGCACGTCACGTGACGCGAGCTCCCATTCAGAGGGTAGAGGTGTAAATAAACATCAAGTCGGTGCTAAAGTTTTCCCCAAAGTTTTGGAGGGAAACTGACCAGGGGGAAAAACCCCTTAAGCTTTATAGCTCTTCATTTTGCTTTTTGTTGTTTAATTCCTTTGATTTATTCTTCTTCTTGTTCTTTTGATCGGCGGCGATCGGTGGATCACCGGAGATGGCGCCCAAATCTGACAGCGTCGAAGGCATCGTCTCCCATTCCCCCATTTTCTTCCTCTTTTGCTCTTTTCGTTTCAATACACGATCCTAATTTTTCTTTCCTTTTGTTTTTGTTTTTGATGATTTTTTAGGGATTGTTCTCAACTACGTAAACGAGGTAACAATTTTATGTTTTTCTTTACTAACAATCTGCAATCTCGCTGATTACTTCGTTGCTTAACTGTAGAATGAAGTAGGTTTAGGGTTTCCTAATTTTATGGTCGGAAAATGTTTAGAGCTAAAATTGTGGTCATGTTATCATGATGAGATTATTGTTCTTCATTTTTTTTGGTTATCGTGCGGGGATACGTTTCATTGAGTAACAATTATCTGTAACATGAATGTTGACCGTTTCCTCCAAGTTCCCTCCAAAAAACATTTAATGTCAACAATTATTTGGTGTTTCTCTCTTTTTTTAAAATTTGTTGAGGGATATTAAAGCATGAATTTTGTAGTTCTTATGCCATAAAATATCTTACAAACTTCTAATCAATAGTAATAAGTATATACATTTTCACAAAATTAGTTGATTGAATGAATTTTCTGTAAGAGAATTATATGATAACATAGAAGATCAGGGACTGAAAAATCATGATCCTGGTGTAAGTGAGGAAAAAATTGTGGCAGTGAATGAACAAGCAAATACTCTAGTTTGTCATGTTACTTGAAAACAAAAATTCTCTTTGAGGAATCTATTAATTCCAAATAGCAGATTTTGCAAAATAATCACGGCCATCCTCATGCTAGATTTTCTTGTATGTCGTATAAACTTTTTTTTGGGGGAGATTAATCTACCGCTTTTTGTTTTAGACAGAGTGCTAGTTTTGTTTCATGTCAGGCTCATTCAAAAATGAAACTGAACCATTCTTTTCCTTGATTATCTTTCTATTCTACTTACTGTTATTTATAACTGCTCTCTATATCTAAAAGTTACAGCATTAACTGTCTAATTTTAGTGCATTTTTCAATTGTAACCGATGTAAATCAAGCGATAAGGAAAATCCTTCTAGACACATTTGATACTTTCAGAACTTCATCACTCTGCATCTGTAATTATTAGCATAAATTAGGTTGCTTATTCACTTTTATCTTCTTATTTTTAAAATCAACTTGTGTATGATGTCGACGAGAGTCCAGATATATGTTCCATTGGTTTCAGCAAAAAAGGGGGCAAACTACTTCTACATTTGCTCTGTACAATCTCTGAAACTACTTCCATTTTTTATTTAAATATTGAACATCTGATTTAATAGTATTCTGGGGTCACTGGGAATTCTACTTTCTTATTCATGTCATGTTTTTATACAGTGAAAGAGTTTGTACACCATTATCTGAAAGTAAGGAAGTCCTGTCCAGCAAAGAAAATAACTGTCTCAAACTAGTCATTCCCTTAAATCATAGCTATTTCCATTCTTAATCTAATGGACGATGATTCTTGGATTCATTAGAAAAGACCTGCTTACCCCGAACTCTTGAAGTCTTTGCATTTTTCAGTATGCAGTTACCTTAATCGTCATCAAGTAGATTCATGCTTCCATATTTACTGTTACATGCACACCACTACTTCCAATTTATTTTTCTAGTAATATTTGGTTTTACCCTCAGCATTCTTTTAGTTTCATTGAATGGACTACATTCGTTTCACATTAATATATGACTTCTCAGATGACATGTTTACATAAATACAATTTGTTAGACCTATATATAGATATCCTGATCAAATTATGCTTTTTAACTTCAGCAAAATAGACCACTGAATTCACAAAATGCAGCTGATGCACTGCAAAAATTTAATCTCAAGAAGACTGCAGTACAGAAAGCATTGGATACATTAGCTGATAGTGGGCAAATATCATTTAAAGAGTACGGTAAACAAAAGATTTACATTGCCCGTCAAGATCAGTTCAAGATACCCAATGCTCAAGAGCTTGATCAGATGAAGACGGCTAATGCCAAGCTACAGGAAGATCTTGAAGAGCACAAGAAAGTAATACAGGAGACTGAGGCCGGTAATGTACTTTGCCTATGGTGTTGAATAGAATACTATGTTTGTAGTCTTAAACATATTGCCAGAGTTGTATTTCTTCCTATGACTATTCAACTAGTAGCCTGACCTTAAACTTTTTCACTTATCTTTTTTCCGTAGATATCCTTGTTCTTAGCAAAAACACCTATTCTTACTTTACATATTGTTTGGTTCAGAAATTCGAGCATTGCAATCAAACTTGACTCTGGAGGAAATACGCTCCAAAGAGGCTAAATTGCATAATGAAGTAAGTTTTGTTCATTTCTTTGCAAAAATTCGTGGCCTATTATTTTGTAATCTTTGATTAGTCTTACGTGTAAGCATGCTATAATGGTAACTGGTAATTCTCTAACCAGGTGTCTGAAATGGAGGCAAAGCTAAAGAAACTGCGCAGTGGAGTTATTCTGGTAAAACCAGAAGATAAGAAGGTGATTGAAGAGACATACAATGAGAAGCTCAGTCAGTGGCGAAAGCGTAAGAGGATGTTCAGGGAGTTGTGGGATGCTATAACAGAGAATTCACCCAAAGACCTGAAAGAATTTAAGGTTATTGTTCATTTGCTGATAGCTTCTCCCTTTATCGTTATTGTATTTCCTCTAAAGAATTATTTGTTCGCAGGATGAACTTGGTCTTGAGTATGATGAAGATGTTGGAGTGAACTTGCAGTCTTTTGCTGAATTAATCAACCCTAGTAAGAAGAGAAGGTCAGCTTGATGATTTCTTCTGAAGCATTTTGTAGGTAGACATAGTTTTACTATGTTGACGAACTATGAAGGTAGATTAGTTTCAGGCTTTATATATTCCAGAAGATAAAGGAGGTTAGAATGTATAGTTTCTCTTGATATGTTTTCTGCTGTCAATTTAGTGATCAAGTAATTAGTAAAAGAAAATTGCTTTTCCTTCCAATTGTGTCACCTTCAGCAAAGGTTTTATTTAGTGGATTGTTTTACAATACGAGGAAACGTCATATTACAGATTTCCAGTAGCATTGGGATGTTACTTATCTTAAAATTCCTTTTGCTATATACTTGAAACTCTGAATTTATCGTCCTAAAGGCACTTATGAGAAGTGATGAGATTATAGCTACTAGGGGCAAAGAGGGCTAGAGGTAGACTTAGGGCTGTCCAAATGGGCTTCGGGCCTGGACCCGGCCCGGACCCTCCGGGCTCGGATAAAAGCCGGGTCGGTCGGGCTCTGGGTCCAGACCGAGGTGGTGAAGCTTGATCTGGGCTAGGCCCGACCCGGTTTTAAATTTTATATATGTATACTATATGTCTAATATATCTATATAATATATATATGTATTATATTTATATATATATATTATATATAATCTAATATAGTATATATATTAGTAGAATGAGAGTAGATAATATATAGGAGAGAGAGAGAGACGAGAAGAGAGCGAGAGAGAAGAAGAGAGAAGAGAAGAGAATATGGGTATGCTTGGTACCACACATATTTGTGCTTGAGTAGATGTGTCACATCCCATCATTCACTTACACCATGCTGAATTGTTTCCACATTAAGAGTGGAAGGAGATTTGACGACCTCACTACACAGCATAATTTTTGTACTTGGTACCAAGCATACCATATTTCTCATATATATATATATATACTATATATTAAATATTATATATATTTATATTACTATATTATATAGTATATAATACAATATATATATGATATATGCATAATGTATACTTATATATATACTTGCTGCATATATATATTTCTAATACTATCTATATAATAATATTAGTATGGTATGTCATATATATAAGATTCAGTCTAATTTTTCAATCATTTTTAGCAAACAATAAAAAATAAAATCCGGCCTGACCGTTTGGCCTGGGCCAGACCGGACGCCTCTGTGCACGGCCGGGAGACCCCGGGATCTGGTCGTAGGCATTTCCCCAGCCCGGACCCGAACAATCCGAGCCGGGCCGGGCTGGGCCGGGCCGGGCTGGGTCGGCCCGTTTGGACAACTCTAGGTAGACTAAAAAGAGTGGTTTAAAGTAATCAAGGATGTGATAAAAGGGAGAGATGACACATAAGAGAACTGATGATAGATTATGATTCACGTAGCTGATACAAAAAAAAAAGGGATAAAAGCTGTTGCCGAACCAAGGGATACAATTTTGTTGACTGTACATTCTTTTATAAGCCGAAACCTGGACATTTTTTAGCAACAATATTTTGTAAATGCACACTAGCTGAGATATGAACTTAGATTTTTTTCATTCATATATTATCTTGAATTTTTTCATTCATATATTATCTTAAATTCCCTGGACTGTACAAAAATCCTGGTGTTGTAGTGAAAATTTAGGGCTATAATTTTATAGTATACGGGCTTTTAATCTCATGGCGCATGACTGAGATAAAATGAGAGATTTACATGTAAAAGTCTCACAAAGTTCACCATAGCAGAGCTTATACATACTGAGAATAATTTTTACATAGTTCACACTAACTCACAAAAAGGTGAAAAGACAAAGAAAAAGGGGAAAACATGCTCAGTCTCATGAAACACTGTTTATCTTCAAGCTCTCTCTTCTCTGCAACTCTATTACTTCTGCATCCCTCGTCGAGTCCTCACAGACACTGCCTTCCTTGTAACCTTCGATTGCTGTATATGAGATTTTTTTGTGTAATCAACTTCAACATTCTCCACCCGAGGACTTGCAGTTTCAGAATAGTAGGATTTTGCAAGACTATCATCATTTGTTGAATCTAATAATCCAGTGGTATCACTCTCTTCCTTCTGTGACTTTTTGAAGCTATCCCTTACAAATGTTCTGGAAGGGAACTTCATTTGGTACAGAGGGTTGAAGAAAGCAGCAGCTTCTTTTTCAGACAAACCTTCATCTGAGGCTGCATCGCTTTTCTTCTCTGTGTCGCTCTTACTATTATTATCAAACGGAGCATGATTCTCATTGTTTTTCCTCACAGCCCAGGTGCCAACTTTAGGCAGCTTCTTTTCTGGCAAAGGTGGCTCACTAAAACCCGAGCTAAGGCCAGGCTTAATCTCGTTATCGTCACTCATTTCTCTATGTGTATCAGCATTAAGCACTTCATCTTCATCTTCTTCCTCTGATTCTGAAGCGTAGAATTGAACAGGGTGCACCTTTCCCTTGTCCAAGTTGTTCTCACCACACTTCTTCTTCTCAGTATCATCTTTTCTGTTGTTGTGATCTTCAAATGAGGATCCTGAAGATCTGGACAGCTCCACCGCAACCCTAGCTGCGGCTGCTGCATCCTCCGCCTTCTCAAATGCAGCCTGAGCTGCGCTTGCCACATCCTTATAACTGTGCATTGGCCTCCCTGACAAGGAATCACGACCTGATTTACTAACTGGCTGGGTAGAATCAAGGCCTAAATTACTGACCGGATGCTTGAGGTTCATGTTTTTGGCCGAGTTTGGATCCGTCTGCATTATCAAAATCCTGAGAATTACATTTTGAAAAAAAAAAAAGAAATTTCCTAATTGCATTAAACCCAACAAAACCTTAGCAACATCTGAATCCTCAAAGCTGAGATCCAGAGTGATCCCTTTTTCTGCGGCGATCTCCTTGATAATCTTCGCTCTGCTCTCCAGGCTCGGTTGCCTGGTCGACAACTTTTGCACAATCTGCACGTTGCAAATAACATCATCTGACACAGGCGCATTCAAAATTGCTAAAGCATAATTCTCAGCAATATATAATGTGCGCCAGATATGAGGCATTTCTGCTTGTCGTGCACCGTATGCAATTTTGATCTTATTTGGTTTACAGTCTCTCTAGCATTTCTCATAATACATGCGTCAACTGTTGTCCAAGAATTAAGGTTTTAATACCGAGGTTCATATTTATACTCTTCAGTCGCCTACATCGGACACAAGAAATCTTGCTTTCAGCATTTTCCATTTTCTCTCTCGTTTGGATCAATGCACATTTGCTGGTCAATTTTGTTTAGATCGTGCGCATTTTTTTTTTCTCTTTCTAATCCCTACCACAAATAAAACAAATCAATAGCTAGTACTAGTAGTCCACCTTCGGATTAACACCGCAGCTATTCCTGAGCTCGGTGGCTGCACGAACAAACTCCCTGCCGAACATGGCCGAGAAAAGGCTGCAGACGCGCTGGAGCTCCGGCATCTCCGCTGACCTCGACGACACGTATATCAAACTCGATACAGCCTCCTTCAACTCCTGAGGACAGTCCCTAAATCACCACCACCAACATTTCAAATTACAAACGAACCTCCCCCATATATAATAGCAAACCAACAAGATATTACTTACTTTTGGCGATGGAGTAGTGATGATCTTTCTATGATAAGGTGGCAATAAGACTGAACGACGGCAAACACATCGAGCATGTTCTCCTCCTTGACTACAATCTCAGCACGTAGGAGGGCCCGGTCGGAGCGGGCCAGACTAAGAAGCTGGGCTATGTCGGAGTGGGCCATGCTGCAACGAGCCTGGTGCTGGTTCTTGAGGAGGGCCGAGCGGGCCACGGTGAGGCTAAGGAGAGTTTTGAGCTTGGAGATCCTCTTAGAGTTGCCGCCGCCGCCGCCGAAGAGGGCGGCGAGGGACTTGCCCATGGTTTGGTGGCTAAGGTTTGATAGCGGAGATGGGAGTGAGAGTGTGAATTGTTTTTATAATTGGGATTTTACTTGTGAGCGAAGGATTGTTGGAGGAAAATTAATTGTGGGGTTAGGGATTAAAGAGTTTTGCTAGAGAACGAGAGAGGCCGGTACGCGGTGGGCGGTAGAAATGGCGCCTGGAGAGGAGTTTGTTATGATTTTCTTTACACATGTTACATACCCTTTTACCGAATTTATACATACACAAATTATATTGATAAGCCCTATTGGGCTTAATTGCACTTAAAGACCCTATAGTTTCCCATATGTTGCACGTATATACCATCACTTGTTTTCGGTAGCACTTATATACCCTAAAGTTTAAAAACTTTCTTCTGTATTCGTTCATTTGTTTTTGGTAGCATACGTATACCCTAAAGTTTTTAAAATTTATATTTAATATCCTAAAGTTTTTTTAACTGAGACTTAAATACCTTAAAGTTTTTAAAACTTGCACTATATACCATCATATTTGCATAATTAAGGTATTTAAGTGTAAGTTTTAAGAACTTTGGGAAATATAAGTGCTGCCAAAATAAATGAAGGTATTAAGTGCAAGTTTTAAAAACTTTAAGGAATATCAGTGTTATAAAAAACAAGTGGCTATACTAGTGCAATGTGGGGAAAACCATAGGGTATTTAAGTGCAATTAATCCTAACTATTTTGCTCGAAGTTAAATAATAATCTGTAATATATATTTTAATAATTATAATTTAATCATGAACCAGGTATGAACCAATATTAACAATTTAATTACTCGTAGTAGAAAAAAACTGATTCATAAATTCATCATTTCCAATCTTCCACTGAAACACACCTAATTAAACTGAACTTCGGTACAAATAAACTATTAACTTCTATATGAATTGAAACATTAAGACAGTGTCGAATATAAATTCTATGATTATTAACAAGAATCGCACGGTAAACAAAATGAATTCCGTGGAGGAGAGCGGGCGGTTTCAAATTTGTTAGATCTGCTCCACTATACTTAAAAGAGGATCTAAAGATTTACTGTTTATACTATAGTAAATTATCATAGCATAAATAGTAAATCTTTGGATCATCCTCTAATCATAGTGAAGCAAATTTACTATTCCTACAGTTCACAGTATCATGAACAGTACCCATTCATAGTATCGAAGGGCTGCTTCCAACATCGGTCTACAGGAGCTTGCAAATAAGTATGCTGATGCTTCAGGGGATTACTTCTCCCCAAGTCCTCCATCTCATGATCCACCATAAAGTCGCTGTAATTGGTCACTTCTCTTGTGTGGGAAAATCTGATGTTTTTCTTCCTTAATTATGTCGTTAATTCCCTTGTTTGCTACTCTTATCTCTTGTATGTAAGTATGTATCATGAGCCACTAGCTGTAGTATTTCAGCATGGTAGGTGACGACATAAGTCCGCTCCCTATCTGCTTTCACCCTCTGCGATCCTCCACCTAGTTGGTTGTCTTATCTGTAATGTTTTGGTTTTTAATAATATCCCTATATGAGCAGGGCCTTAACCCTGCTTTTTCAGTTCAAAAAAAAAGTATATAGCAAGAGAGATGATTTTTAATTTTAAGCATATAATAATTAAATCAAATGTATGAAACATTAGAGGGAGACATGTTCAAAATGCAATGCTTAAAAAAATAGAAACACTAGTTTAGATAATGGGTGAATTAGATGTTTTGTTAGTTAGGTTCTAGTTAATTTATTATAACAATATGAGATAGTTTAAAATTTTAGCATGATGATTGGTACATCAAATTTCTTATAATGCAATAAAAATTTCAATCTTGGACCTTTATTATTATTATTATTTTAAGTGAAAACTTTTGGACCTCTACTGGAAAGAAATTTTATCACTGTTGCCATGTTACTCCAGTTCAAGTTTTTCTCATTAAATCTTAACCTTTGTATAAGGACTGTGTAATATATATTGAAGATTGATCTCACATGTCATATTCTTCAGTTAAATTAGAATGTATTTCTTTCAATTATTATGTTCAAAATACAAAAAATATTTGTTCGGGAATATAATATTTTGGATTTTTCTGATAGTTATGCTTAAATATTAGATGTAGTAAAATTCTACATTCAGTATGTTGTAGAAAAATGCAAAAGACATTAGAACATTATCATTGTTGTATTATTATCCTTTTGAATTTAGATTCCTGCAGACTGAGTCAATATGCTTTAGTTACAAGGTATTTATAATTTTATAAGAAAATTTTAAGGGTTTTTTTTTCTAGAAACCACCTTAAAAATAGGGTAATTATATGAAAACAACTCACATATCTTGAAAGGTTCATTCAAGACACATTATTCATTTATTTAGTGTTTAGTTCTTGTTAGGATACAACTCATTCATCTTGAACTTAAATTAATTTGTAAGCTCATTTTTTGTTTTTCAGTGGTAACTTGACTGGAAGGTTGTTGATTGCAATAAAAATCCACTTTAAAAGTGGTTCATGTATAAATTGAAATTAAAAGATGGTTATTAAAAGATGGTTACCATCTAATTACTCTATTTTAAAGGTGGTTTCTAAGAAAAAAACCAAAATTTTACTGGACTTTGATATGAAGTAAGATATGCATGAAGCCAACATTCTTTGGAGAGTAAAGTCTGCAACCCACAAAGGGACAAAGAAACAGATATTGAACTTTAGTACAACATGAGTACATTCATCTAGAATGTTTTTGAACGTCAATCATCTCAAAGATACTCATTATAGAAAAGGTTCAAAAGTTCCCAAATCAAATCCATCAAGAATCACAATTAAGCGATTGAATCGGTCAGCTAAACTTGTTGATACATTTGTGAACGTGGATAATTTTAAAGTTGTTGAGTTATAATGAAGCTTATGTAAAAACAGGAAAAATATAAAACTTTTTGACCTAACAGGGATCGGAGAAGTTTCTCTCTTGTGTTAACAGAGAACGAGTTGATGGAAGTAATATTTCTTTACGTAGTTTTTTACTTGGTGGATTGTTGGAAAAAGGCAGCGAACATGCTCTTTGTGGTCATTGATCTTTGGTGGGAATTCTGCGGCCGTACTTTTTGTCCTAAAACGAGTGTTAAGCTTGCAATCAATCAATCACCAAAGTTTAACAAATGATTTTTTTTTTTTTTTGCAGTTGCCTTCAGTTGTCTCAACACGGCACTCTTTCAATTAACCATATAGACGTTACTTGTACGAAGTTTGGAGCATGAGAAGGATGTCAAGTTGAGGCCGGCCCACGCCAGAATTAGGGCCCATCACCACGTAGCTAGCGTCGTAGGGTTAAGCGCTTTGCTTGGTACTTGTCATCATAGATTTTAGGTTAAAGTCCTAATCCCCACAAGTTATAGGACTGATGGTTAGGTCAGCCCAATGTGATGAAGATGGGACTCAAGTTGTTGTTGTTATTATTATTATTGTTACTAGTACTTCTTGTGCATACTATATATGTATGGATAAATAATTCGATATTTTGATGTTAGAAATATGAGGAAGTTGGAAGAACATATTGAGCAAGTGGGGAATTAAAGAGAGCTAGTGGAGGTTAATAGGTGTAGTTATTGAGAACATGATGTGGATGTAATTAAAAAAGGGTAGTTTTTTTTTTTTTTTTTGAGTTTTCTAACTTTAACATGTTTATGGTTTTTAAACTAGGTGTAAATTGCGACAATATTTTTGGAATTTTCTGAATTCGTGACACATACAAGGGCAGAGCCGAAAGTATTTATCAAGGCTTCTCTTAAGTAATAGCAATAAATTTTCTTTAGCTCCAAACATAGAGGAGATGTAACAGAACTGAGAAGGTTTAACTCAAAATTTTCTCCACTGAATTAAAAAATGATCGTCATAAATAATAAGAAAACTAAAAATTATGGAGATATTTGGAGTACTTTCCGTAAAGCTGACCTCTAGCCGAATCGCATCAAGGGCGAGCTTAAAAATAAAACAGGCCAAAGTTTTCTGCCGTATCACAAGCGAACTGCTGTTGGGCGCGGAAAGGGCCTATATATAATTGCTTTGATTTCCTATTGGATTGGGCTTAGGTCCTTTTCTTAATGGGAAATTTTCGTCTTAATTAGAAAGTAAGCAAGTTGAAGAGATGCCCAGCGAGGTAAATAATCTCAAAAATAAAATTAGAGAGCTAGACGCAAACATTCTGGGAGGTTAAGACCGTCCTCCGCAAAAAGCACGGGGGGCCATCGTACTTTCCCCTAGTACGAGAAACTGCACGTAATTCGAGACCACCAAAGCTCCATACGAATTTCTTATACGCGTAGTCGACCCTATTACGATGCATGCATGTATCTCAAAGCAGAATCTGATGAGACGTTTTTTGCTAAATACTCAATTAGGTTCTGTTTGGTTGGCTGAGAAACTAAGAAAAAAAAATCAACACACCCGACGCACCCATGTGAAGGTGTGATCTATTTTTCTTGTATTAGGTTGATAGAGGAAAAAAAAAGATGTTATGCATATGAGACCCACTCACTAGTAAAATAATAGTGACATGAGTCGTAAATTAAAAAAAAACTCGTTTCCTCCCAAAAAGTCATGAAATAAACTTGAAAACATAGAAATATGTCCCACGTCCTATTTCCCATGACTAATCCCCCAAACTTAGATTTCTAGGAAATGAACCAAACATCCTCTTAAAACAACAGTACGTAGCACCAGAAAACCATACATCACTTACTCAAATGAGCAATGAGACTAAATCACAAAAAACAACTTATATATTTATTTATTTATTTAAAGGTCCTAAAAAGAGGCAACGACACACCGCATTTTTTCAACAGTACCATTTGTGAGCTGGCTAGGCCACAGTTAATATTTCTAGAAAGAACTTATTAGAATCATACGCTATGACAAAAAAACATAATCCCACCAAGTACAGGGCTCGTCGCTCCGCGCGCTGAAACTCTCAAAACCGAAGAAATAAATAATCTGAGCAAACCAAGAGGCGACCTAATTAAAAGGAAACGAGGTCACGCAGCGGCTAAGAACGATGGAGATCATACTGCGCCCAGAGCTTGACCTCG